GGGGGGGGGGGGGGGGGGGGGGGGCTGGTAACGCGGCACTAGACATGAAAGGAAATATAGGTAATCATGTGGGCGGGTAGATCATCTCTACGATCTGTACGAGCAAGACCTCCACATCACCAACAAGTACAACAAGAACAACAATGATATCGTTATTCTCACCCAAGACGGCGTCGTTAACCTTGTCCGCGATTGCCTGATTCTGCAGGCCGGAGACAAGATAACCCAAAGGGCTGGCGGCGGGATCGCTGTACGCCAACAACCCCATCACCTTAACAACAATGTCGTGCGCAGCAAAAGTATTAATATTAGTAGTAGTGTATTGTGTGCGCAAAATCCGAAATCCGAGGGAACGGCTGGGAAAAACAAAAAAGAACAAACGAGAAGCAGCAGCGCAGACGCAAATCAACGGACAAATATTGTCGGCTGTATATGAGAGATAAGACAGACACTTAGTACCAGCAGAACACAACAAACCGCCTTGCAGTAGCAAAAAACGATGTCGACAAAGACGCAAAAGACACCGACAAGAGAACACCATCGACAACACAAAACGAATTAATCTCTATCTCACCAACGCGCACACCCAACGGTGGGGGGGCGATGACGCCGTACATAAAAACGTTTACAATACGTACGTGAGAGTTTCAGGGCCGACCTCATCCCGCCCCGCCGGGCAGCACTACTCTTGCACCTACCGCAATACTTCAGTACAAGCACAGCCCAAAACTAAAAGCAACACGACACAACAAAAAACGATAATTGTCTAAATCGTCAGCCGAAACCGCTCGCTACCCCCCGCCCTCTCTCCCTCACCGCCAAAAGCTTCGAGTCGTACACGGACGGGGCGCCGCCGAATAACGTCGACGGAAATCCCCCCCTCCGCGCAAAATCTGCGGGCCCCCGGTACCCTCCACCGAAGGCACCCCCCCTGTCCGGGCTGGCGCACGCCTGATTGTCCGAGTTGAATTCCTCCGGGTTGGCACGATCGTCGGTGGTCTTCACCGGGTCGTAGCTGCGACTTCTGCGCTTGCGGGTCCTGTTTGTTTGGTGTTTGTGTTTTTTTTTCGCGGTTCGTGGCATTTCGGGTACAACAGGGGGTGTTTTCGGGAACAAGAGCGGGCATGTCGGGTACTACAGATTGCACGCATCACCACATTGAGAGAGAGAGAGGACCTCTTGTGTCGCCTCTTGTTATGGTCAACTCCGAAAACTAACTTTTTATCTGTCAGCCCGAAGTTCTGAACTCCCAGGTTCTTAAGAGCTGGCGCATTCTGCATGGCGAAAAACAATATAAGTAGCACCATTCACACCGCAACGCCCAACAACGTTTCTAGCCAGAAAAACTCGTCAAGCCAAATAGCAACACTGCCGCGCCACATCCAACGTAACGACAGCACCGCCAATCAACTAAACGCAAAAGGACGTGCACAACAAGTACCCATCGAAAAGAGCACTGCTGCCCGAGCCTGGGTGTACACGAACTATCGATCCCCTGAGCAAGACGCGTTTCTTCCTCTTCGTGTTTGTTTCTCTTCGTGAATACTATCTCAGTGCTCCTTCCATTTTCCTCTCTTGCATTTTGCTTTCTTACGGACTCTTATCGCGTCACCATGATCGCACTAAATTTTTTTTGTATAAAAAAACAACACACCTGCGCCCCGCCGCCGCCGCCGCCGCCGCCGCCTCCCCCGTCTCCTCCTCCGACTCGCCCCCCTCGTTACCGTTGCCCCTACCGCTGCCACCCGCCGCCGCCCTCGATCTCGCCCCCCCTCCGGGCCCCCTAACCCCCCCACCGCGAGTCCCGGGGCCCCCTCGCCTCTGCGCGGCGCCTCGAGTGTTGACCCCCCCCGACCTCGCGGTTGCAGATGACGCCCCCGCCCTTGTGCCGGCCCCTGCGGCCTGACCGAACCCGGCAGTCGTTGCTGATGCAGCCGGCGAAGAAGCACAAGAGTTTGTTGGTGCGCTGCCGCCGCCGCCGCCGCCGCCGCCGCCGCCGCCCGCCTTGTTGTTGTCGAGGTGGTGGCCGTTGCGGAACGGGGATCCGTTCGGGGAAGGGGCGGAGGAAGAAGAAGAGAAGGAGGAGGGCGAGTCGGAGCGGGTTCGAGGGGAGTCCCTGAACCTCGACAAATCCCGCTGCAAGGGACACAGAGAGAGAGGGAGGGAAAAAGGGAGGGAAAAAGGGAGGGAGAAAGGAAGGGGAGGGAGAAAGCGAGGGAGAGAGAGAGAGAGAGAGAGAGAGAGAAAGAGAGAGAGAAAGGCGGGGGGGGGAGGGAGGGAGAGGGTGCGGGGGGGGGCCAAAAGTTCGAGACAGACTTGAGGGGGCCACGGGCGAGTCGAGAGAGCAAGAACAGAGACGAGAACAAAAAAACAATAACATGGAGACAAACCGAGGAAAATAACGAGAAAATAACGAGGAAATAGAAAAATAACACATCGACAACATGAACACAGCAATAGAGAGAAAAAAGAGAGGGAAAAGAGCCAACGCCACGAAAAAGGCAGCCATGTAAAAAAGAAAAAACGACAAGTATCCCCGTTCGGACACTATTTTCTCGCCGGTCGTGTCTTCCTTCACTTACCTGAGCCAACGACACCGCGGCAGTGACCTCCCCCTTTTTGACGAGCTCGATGAACTCCTGACACTTGAGAGCGAACCTAACGTCCGCTCGCTTCTCCAGCAGCCCCGGGCGCTTTCGAGGGGCGCGAAGGACAAAAAAGGGGATGGTGCGTTAGGGGGAACAGCTACCACTTTCGGTTGCCTTGTCCGCCGAATCAAGAATTTGACCGCGAGAGCTACATATGTCGCCCATCTCCCTTGTGACGCATGATATGTCGCCCATCTCCCTTATGACGCATGACAAACACAAAAAAGGGTGGCCGTTCCACCTTCAGGCTACTGCTACCACATACGTTTGCCATAAAAAAAAAACACAAACACACACACAAGAACGGGCTTCCTGTTACAGCACGTGCTCCAATTTCTCCCCTCCTCACCTCTCTCTGCAGCATCGTTGTCGCGGCCCTAATGTTCCCGGAAAGGATCTCCCGCCTCAGTTTCGTCCTGAAGGACAGCGTGGCCGCGAGGGCGACGGCTCGAGACTTGCCGACGCGGCCCGCCGCCCCACCGCCCCCCCCGTCCGCGAGGAGGTCCGTCACCGGCACCGGCATCACGGGCTCTCGGCGCGGGGGCTCCGGCGGCTGAATCCACGGGTTGATGACGTCCGGGACCGGCAGGCCGTCGTGCTGCATCATCTCTTGGATGTCGTGGTCCTCTTCCTCCTCCTCCTCCTCCTCCTCCTCTTCCTCTTCCTCTTCCTCTTCCTCATCGTCGATGTTCTCGTCTTCTTCCTCCGACATCATGAGGTCTTCTTCGTCTTCCTCTGCATCACTATCTCCTTCCTCCTCTTCTCCCTCCTCCTCCTCCTCCTCGTCCTCGTCCTCGTCGTCGTCGTCGTCGTCGAAAACTTCTTCTTCGTGGTCTTCCCCCGCCCCCCCCCCATCCCTCCCACCCAACACAAACACGGCGCCCCCCGCCTGCCCCCGGAGCAGCTCCAGGTTGCGGAGAAAGTCTCTCCTCGCGACCTCATCCACCGATCCCCCCATCCCCCCGCCGCCGCCGCCCCCACCCCCCCTGTTTTCGTGCCCCCCGCGTCGCCCCTGCTGCGCGCCCAGCAGTGACAGCTCCTGCGCTTGGCGCTCTTCTGTCCCACCTGCTGCTCCACCTGCCTCTTGCGCCCTCACCTCCTCCACCTCCATCTCGTCCGCTGGGGGGGCCGACCCGCCGCCCCCCCTCCCAGCCGCCGGCCCCCACGACGTCGGTGCTGCCCACGCACCATCACCGCCTTGCTGTTGCTGCTGCTGCTGCTGCTGCTGCTGCTGCTGCTGTTGCTGAGCCGATCGGGTTATGCGACTACTGGTGCCGCCGTGGCCTGCACCACCGCGGCTACCGCCAGACACCGGCGGCGGCGGCGGCGGCGGTGGAACCGCCGCCGTTTGGGGCAGGAGGAGGAGACGGCGGGGAGCCGGCCGCCTTCCTCGCCGCGGGGGCGGCGGCGTTCCGAGCGGAAGAAGCGGAAGAAGAAAAAGAAGAAGCGCCGGCGGCAAGGGCCGGGAGCGGGGGCGGGGGAGGCTCCGCGGAGGCGGACGCGGCGGCAGCGGCGGCGGCGGCGGCATCCGATGCTTTCCCGGCCTTGCTGCCGGCGGTGGCGGCAGCGGTGACCTTGGCGGCGCCGCCCTCGTCGGCTTCGTCCAGGCTCTTGAGGGTCTTCTCACAGCCCTGAGAATTTGCGTTCGGTTGATCCATCGATCATGGTGGTGGTGGTGGTGGAAAATTGTTTTCTTCGCCGAGCGGGGAAGTAGGGATCACGCCACGGTTGCGTGTCAATTGAGACGGCGCACGAGAAGGAATAAAAGAGAGCCTCAAAAGCGGCACGGGCAGTAAGAACGACGAACATTGTCACTAAACTGTACGTGACCCATACGCGAACAAGCACTCAAAGGGGATAAGGGATATCGTTCCCCCGTCCCCGCAAACGCAGAAGCCGTCTCGTCTCACTTGTCGGCTGAAGCTTTCAGAGCGGCCGATGGGACCGAAATAGGTATACAACACACCGACGAACGCCCCCCCTCACCCACCCCGCTGCAATGAACAAGTGCCAAGCAGACGGAGCCCAAACGGCGGTGCTGCATTCAAACACCTCCTTGGCAAAACCTGCGAGGGCCCGGACTGCGGTTTCGCGGGCAAACCCAACCAGAAACTTTACACCCCCTCCCCCGTCCTGCTTTGTGGCCAATGGCTCAACAACACGAAGCCAAGAAAAACATGAGCACGCCCTCCCACGGTCCTGCGGGAACAAAGCTCTGTCCTCTCAAGGACGCGTGGTCCAATGATCTATCAACTAGGGTGCGCGAAACGTGAGTACGCCAGACAAACAAAATAATCTTTTTTCCTTTCTCACCTGGTGCAGGAACTGTACACCCCTCCTCCTGTCTTCTTGGGTTCTGTTATTTATTATTTTTACGACTTGAAAATTTTCATCGCTTCGCAAAAAAAGGCGCTCATAACGTTTCTGCCGGGCAGGCGCTCCAATCTGTTGCCACAGAGGGTCGTGCCTCCACCTGAGGGTATATCATGTATACTTTCTAAAAAAAATCGAAAAAATATAAGCTCCGTCCTTTTTTACCTGGTGCAGGAGGTAGTCGCGGACGAGAGACCTCAGGAGCACCGGGCACACGGGAACCGCCGCCACCGCCGCCTGCTCCCGGTAGTCCTCCCCGGCCACGCTCGCCGACACGTCGAACAGGTACGGCCGCCGCCCGAAGTTCAGGTGCACAGCCTCGCCCCTGCTGTGAAGGCCCACGCAGGGGTACAGGCCGTGCACGTCTAGGGCGCACCGGATGGTCGGAAAGGCTGCTCCCAGGAGCCGGCCGTTGTGCGTCAGGAACACCTGTTTTTTTTTTTTTTGGCGGTATCGTTGTTTGGCGGTATGTTTTGCTGCAGAATCGCTTACTCAAAGAAGGCCTCTCCTAAGCGGCAATACCGCCAAGGCCGGTTCTGTATAGTAATCTCCCGTTCTGCTACAAGGCACGACCGAAAACATGCCGCCGAAAGCGTGATGGTGATGCATATAAAATATAAAAATGAAAAAGACGGGCGACATTCAGTGGTTCCTCTCCTCCTGGAAACTCTGGTTCGGAGGTAGCTTAGACCGCCATTGTGTGTTCCAATGACACGAAAAAAAAAAATGACAAAAGCGTGCGCACGGTGCACATTTATCATCGCGCGTGGTGGTAGTTATCTCACGCACCTCCATCTTCTTGAAGTTGACGCCTAGGCCAACCGTGTCCCCGGTGCAGAACGGGGCTCCGAAGGTCTGCCCCACGCCACTCCCCGAAAATACTTTCCCGTTGCCCTCCAGGCCGTACGAACCGCCCTGTCAACCAAGCAACAGCACAGCAATACATGGCGTGGGTGTTGTTGCCAAGCGTGATATGTCGTCACCCGGGTCCTCGAAAAACTCACATCGCCACGTACGACCCCCGCTGCCCGGGTTCAAGCGGCGCGTCTACCACACATTGATTGAGATGAGCACATAATCGTTATCGCAAGGTTGTCTCTGAAGCATTAGATGGCACATTTCTAAAAAATTTAACGAAAAACCACGCCACGAGAAGTACGCCAGAACTAGTATGATCGCTCATACCACAAACTTGTATTCCATCAGAAAGCGGGGGCAGAGCCAGTACTGGTAGCCCTTTTCGCCGCAAGGCTGACGCCTGCCAAAGAAAGCAGTAGAAGCCGGCGAAGCTGATGCACGTGCAACGTACCGTAAGAGCAAACCAAAGCTACGCACTGTTCACAAAACCACCCTGTCGTGAATTCCGTAGTGTTCGCCTAAGGAGTAAGTGCCCACTTTGGTTGTCTCCGGGGCTGACCCTTTGCTTCAGTTTCAGCCAAACTAGCACACAGCAATGTACAAATCGTTGCCGACGAACCCACCAATTGTACACGCCTAACAGTTACCGGACGAGTTACTCGATGCCGATGCTAGCCTTACCCACCACTTCCACACTCTTCAAAGATACTCGCACGAGCTGTCCCTGTTCGATCATACACACAAAATACAATATACAACGCAAATCACAAGGTATCAGCCATTTTTCTCGGTCATGCGCTTTCGTTACGCCTCCTTCTCCTCCTCATCCTCCTCCTCCCCATGATGTCGACAGGATGGGGAAGCTTTATTGAGCCACCTTTGGCGAGCGACGTAGAGGAAGGAGCGACTGGCCATCGGTTGCGGGAGAAAATGCTCCGTCCTCTCGAGGACAGACGCGTGGTCAACGGTCGATCAACTGCTGTAAGGCATGCAAAGCATAAGAGTATGCCTTTCTCACCTCGGTGCCAGGCTGCCGGTTCACGGGGAAGGACGCGGGGATGAGGCCGAGCGTGATGCAGCAGTTCTCGCCCTGGGCGGCGATGGTGGCCTCAAAGTACCACATCCGCTGGTGCCGGGGGAGGGGGTGGTTCGCGCGCACGGTTCCCCAGTCTTGCTCGTGGTGGCCTTGCCCTCGGTAGCGGACGCCCAGCTTATCCCTATCACACTTTTTGGTAGTTAAGCAGACACCACACGTTAGTCGGACCGGTAGGGATGGATGTTAAAAGAGCAGAGATCGGAACAGTTGTTAATAGCGCGAAGAGACCAACAACCGCACAGATATGTATTGTTGGAGGGAGGACGTGAGGTTAGGGCGATGCGTGCAACGTGTAATTGTGCATTCTTTTGATGCTTGGCGTGCTCCAACGGACGGTGTGACCATGCGTCTCATCTCTCTTCATCTTGCGGTGGAATTAAAAAACTATCTTTCCTGGGAAGGGGGGTTCTCATAAAACGCATGCCGTTGTCGGTAGACCATAGACCTCGCATCCCTGCAATGCCGGGACGGAGCGGGTTTTCGCCGGCCCAGGTTACGTTTTAGAAGGAGGAGCCTGGGGAGGGAGTGGCAGCAGGTGTTGGGAACACGTCTAGCGCTCCCCTGGTGCCTTTGCCCCTCTACAATCTCCAGATTTCTTTCCCTACGTTACCTATCAGTAGAAAATAGGTTGTTCTAGGCAACCAAACGTACTGGATAAAGTATAGAATCGGCAAATATGGGGTTAGGGTCTGCGTGCCCCCTGCATGGTCTTTTTTCGTAACACAACTTCCATTTTTGGGTAGGCAATCCCTACCTATCTACAGCAGTGAGTACTCACGACGGCGTGGTAACAGGGTTGCGTCGTGTCCATCGCGGAGGGCAGGTACTCCCCGTTCTCAAACACCCCAGCTGCGGCGCCCCCGTGTTCCTCCGCGGGAGGCCAACGCTTCGCCCCGCCGAGGCCGTCGCCGCTGCGGGGAGAGATGTCCGGGGAGGTGTCCATTTCATCTGCCGATGAGGTATCACTCGGCTGCTGCTGCCGCTGCCGCTGGTGCTGATGCTGCCGTCGAGAGGGAGGACCCATGGCCGCGTGGTGGCCGGAGGAGTACATTGCGAGACGGTTCTTGAATTTTTTACGTTGCTTTGGGCACCGTCTCGGTTCCTCTGCAGCAGGAGGTTGTGTCGAACGCTTGGACGCTTCGCAGCCACTCTGCTGCTCCTCTGGGACTAGGCGGGGAAGAGCGGGGGGGGGGGGGGCGAAGACGCGGGAAACGGAAAGACACGCCGGGGGAAGTACAACACAATGAGCAGAGAGCTACTGCCATCAAGCCTACACCTTACCACCACGTGTAGGTCTGCTGCACTCGCATGCCTGGGTCTTCTGTTCAAAGGATTGTCAGAATTACGGCATCCGACTGTACTAGTGCATCTATCGCAAGTGCAACTACAGCAACTGACTGCGAGTGATCCCACCCTCGTAAAAGTAACTTTCACATCTCGATTGCTCCATCGAAAAGGAAGGGTGGTTTCGCAAAGATAAAAGATACAAACGTATCGTCGAGAGCTTTCCCTAGACGTGCCGCCGTCGGTTTCGCACCCCATTGGTTCTAGAAGCAACCGAACACCGAAAGTCGGGTTAGCGGGGGTGCAGTCACTGGCACAATTGCGGTAGCGAGGCTGCGGTTCACAAACAGTAAAGGTACCAAAAACGAACGTTGAAGAGGCCGCCTGCCCCTCCAGGCGTAAACAAGGCACACCAAATACAACTGCGCTTGGTCAAACGACACCCGGGATACAGCATTACAGCAGTAGTCTACAGGTCAATTTGTGGATGAGGTAGACCATCGTTGAAAAACTCCAAGCAGGCTCGTGGGGAAGCTGCCGGCGGCATGGTTGCTATGCTTTGTTTTCGCGGAACAGCCCGGCTATATCACCCGCGGGGCTGCATTCGAACCCAGGGTAATACATGGTAGCTTTAAGGCAACAGGATCCCTCGAGAGTTCTACAAGTATGCATACCACCGAGTTTCGAGCTCCCGATGTATGTACATGTATTTGTCTCTTCATGGGCAACGGTGTGATACAGAATTTGCGCACGCGGGACCGTGACACAGCCCGCTACGGTTCTTTCGACAGCGAGGAAATATGCAATTCAACACGTCTAAGGTGTGTGCTGGGAACGAAAGCCGCTGACACAACGTGATGGCGACACGCAGACGCGGTGCTTCTTCGTATTTACTGCAAGAAGGACGCAGCAGCATTTCGGGCACATTTACAGAATCAAGCACATGGAGCTCGTGCAAGCAGAACGTTTTCCCTGGAGCGCCAAACGGAGAGGCGGCCGAAACGTTACCGCACAGCAGCTAGTGACAGCGGAGTCGTGCTCCAAGCCCCGCTCCAAAATGGTGAACAAACACACAGAGAGAGACCGCAGCTTCTTCCGGTAATTGAAGTACACGAAAACAGCGCTCCGAATTTCTGCGCTTTTACACACACTCTTGTGAACGTGCGGTATCATCCAACAGAGGTCAAAGTGCTCACTACGATGAACTGGTTCACCTTTCACCCAATTTGTGTGCCTCCTTCGCCTGCTTGCTACAGGCCAAGCCTCGTCGCGGAGCACTGCATTAGGTGAGGTGTCTTGACGAGCAGCCCGATTTCGTCGGGGCTCCGCAAACTGCCACGCCCCCCTCTGTATGTCAAATCTCCGGAGATTGCCAACATGGGATGGGAATGTCCATCTTGTTCACTAAGAAAGGCATCACTCCAGTCCCTGCCTCGCATTGCCGCTTGCTTCACCGTGTGGCCACCATCCTGCTTCGTGTGCTGGCAGCGTCTCTATTGCCTTGTATGATGTTCGACGACATCGTGCTTCTCGATGATAGGATGGTAGCGGAGGGAAAGGACGCGGGCCGAGAGGACGGGAGGGCTCGAGGCTTCAAGGAGGGTGAGGGCATGGGAAGGGGCAAGGGCTTTCAGACGGCAGCGGAGATGAGCTTCTGCAGAGGTTGCTGCTTGGCGTGGCTGTCCATGCATGCTCAAGATCCAGGTATAGACATGCGTTGGACCGGCGTGCTAGTGTGAAATCTTGTGATCGATCAAAGTGCACACATCATCATCGCCAGGCCTTGCGGAGTGTCTCTGATGATGTCCTCTCTCTTTCCTACAGTAAACAGAGGAATTCGCAGCAGCGGTCACTGGCGTTTGTTCGTCGTTACAACTGTCAGTGGAACACGTGGGTGCGTAGGTGTGGCAATTTGGGCAGCAGCAGTATCGTGCAGCTTGCCACCACCAGCAGGGTTCTCTCAGACTCTCGTACCCGCCCAACTTTCGCGACTTGGAGTGAAACTCGTCCGGAACTTTCAAGCGACTGCCATCTTTGGCGTCCTGCTGGTAAAGCTCATTGTACGTACCATGTTTTCGAATGTCGCGGGGGCGCAAGTGAATACCCCACCATGCATTGAACTCCGAAGGTCAGAGTTTCCAGACGCAACGTCGTACATTGCTTACACTGGGCAGGCTAATGGTCATGCCGTGGTTATTTTTTGTGGCTAGACGCTTCGAACGGACGTCATCTATTTAGTATCACTACTTGTTGATTTCTCCATCCTGTTCTTCACCAGCAATTACTTGGAGTGGCCGTTCACAACGCCGAGTCCTCACGTCAAGGTCGAAAACGCACTTGGTTCGATTGTTTGTATCCGTCTGCATACGATTCCTTGATATCTAGAAACTTGAACGTTATCCATGCCGAAGGGTGGCTATACAGGCCTAGCGTGGCCCTGTACCGAAGCACCGTGTTGTCATGCAAGAACGCTCCGGGGGGCGCTTTGAAGCGTTTTTGTGTGAAACGAACACCCTACTCAAGGCAACAAATACTCTGAGGTAGTGTTTGAGTGTCGCCTGCTGTTTTTTTTTTTGCACAATATAAATATACCAGTAGACGGTCACAAGAAGACGGTCAAGACAACGCCACAGCAGTCGAACGGGATGTGTTGGGGAAGTCTGAGTATGAAAACTTTTTGGAGGAGGGAGTTCACACGGTGACGTTGTTCTCAAAGGATATGGTGGTACTGCAGCGACTATGAAATATGTAAGGGTCGTGCCAAGGTAGCCCTAATTCCCTCCTAAAATCGCCTTTGTCTCTCATGGCCGTGACAAAACTACATTTACTACCTGAAATCCGTTAAATCAACCCCAATTAAACCGTAGCCTCTACTGCTGTTTCTTCGTTGCACACGCTACCTTACCCCCACCTGCCGAACGCAGACAAGTTTCCCTTCAGCGAAAAGGCGCTGGCCTCGATGCGGGCCGTCGTCACGCTGGCCGAGAGTGTCCCACGCGTTAACACGCAAGAAGCTACGGCCGCGCAGACGGCTCAACGGGTTCGCGCGAGATTTCGAGCTGTGACTTCTATGGTAGGCCTGCCGGTGGTATTCGACTCCAAGGGACAGGTTCGTTCTTTCATCTCTCACCCCACTCCTTGACCTCCCCTCCATCCTGCAAAGAGCCTTTCCGCAGGGGGAAGTATTTCAGTGACATGTTTCACCCGAATCGTGGATTGTCGACAGGCAGGCTGACGGACGGATAGTGCTGCAGTTAGCGGAGAACTGGCAATTGAACCTGGAAAAAATCAAGCTCTAAGAACTCGAACACCATTTGTAAGATCGGTTAAGAACTACACCGAAACCTACTCAACGACCATTCGCAGAATTACCCTACATAGGAACCAAGAACTCCTGCCTCGACCGAAACCAAAGGTTCGTAAGTGCGGGCGCTGACTGTGTGTCTCCACCCCGTACGGTATGCGCATCTTTCCGTGCGGTAGGCGGAGGCCAAAGACTTCTCCTTTTGAGTCGAGTGGTCACCCTGCAGCCGCCCGCCTCCAAGCTTGGAGTGGTGCTCATTGGGCCGGAGGACACTGGACAAAGCTCATGGTGAATCTGCTAGTGCTTTTACGGCTGGAGTTGGGCGGGAGACGTGAGGACACGCTTGTGGCGCAGCGGGGGCTGGCTCACGACGCCATGGTGGTCGTGGCCATCACGTGGAGGACGCAACGGCTTTCTCTACGGGGACAGTCAGAAAGTATGGCAGGAGCTGAGTCCTGAACTTTACTTCCAAGACCGTCATAACTCGAGGTTGAACGCCGGAGTGCTCAGCAAAGCCTCCTTCCTTCCTGATGGACGCTTTCCTGGAAATGCCTCAGGAGGACGCGTAACAATCCTGCTGGTTCTCTCTTTGCTGGCCGGTTCTATCTGGATCGGTTCATCCACGACAGGTAGATGCCCGACGTGGTGGCATTGGAACCATCATGTTGAGGAGCACGGATTTTTCCAGCTTTTGCGCCTCCGCGATGAATGGAAATCTGGCGGTGCCACACTTCCAAGCGGATGGTGATACTGCAAGCCATTACGATAGAGCAACGCCCACCTACGCGCGCTCAAGCCGAGAGAGAGGGGGGGGGGAACAGTTCAACGACCAATTCATGCACAGCACGGACTGGTGTATCCGCGAGCCCGCCCTCTTGCACTATTGTAGATTCGCCCGACAGAGGGGCACGTGTGGAAACATGTTCGCTCGGATTCTTTCTTGCAAGTTCTTGGGTGGTACGTTGAACTTCTACTCTTTAGCTTTACCATGGAGCCCAGAGCTGCCACGGAATTGACCGCTTGTCATGATGAATCTAATGGGCTCCTTGTTGCGCACCCCCGAGTTGCACTGCGTCCAAATATCGCCTTCTTGTGCTATTTATCTAGCGGAACAACCTGAAGTCTCCTGAATCAGCCTACCACCCCCGGGTGACGAGTTCTTCAGCTGTAGACAGACGCCCGTTTCCGGGGATTCTTCCGTTTTTCGGGCTGTGGGCGGAGGTTGTTTCCAGCTCACCTGAGCTCTGTTTCCAAGCAAGGCGCAACGTATGGTGGTCCTGTAGATGACATGTCTCGGGCAGAAATAATTCCTCGTCATGCGGATGGATGTGGTTCATCAGGATATTAGTAACGCTTGAATAGGGGCGTTGTTTGCAAATATGCACTGCTCTTGGCCAGTCCCAAAGTTCTGTTGTGCGAGGCAGCGGTGCGGGACTGGAGACATTCCCAACTTGTTTGCTTCTACAGCACTGCGACTATTTGGTCATGTTTGAGTGTGTGCAAGTTGAAGAACGATCACTTCGTGGCGGTCTCCGGTGTAGAACGTTCGCAACGGGAAGCAGCAGCAGGAACAGCAGCGGCAGCAATAATACGATGAGGGCGGTCTAGCTGTCCCGATTGTTTCCATCTACGATGAAACCTGTGATGTTGGTATCTTCACAGTAAGCGATAAAGTTTCTTGCGTTTGACACTGCTGTGATGGGCAGACCGTTCCTCCTGTTGTCGATGGACTGGCAAGTCGGTGACGAGCGCTGTGGCGAACGCAGCTCATCCGTATTAATTGTTCGTCCTGACAACGAGGGTTTCGGAATGGGGCGATCGAAATAAGGGGCCGCCGAACACAGGAGCGTGCCCCTCTAAGAAATCATTATTTGGCAGATATTTGTTGTTGAATGGGAGGCGTCAACAAAGCATCTCCGTGTAGGACCATTGTTTCACTTGCCGCGCCTTTCTTTGTCTCTCGTAGCTGACCCGAGGGACAAACTCTTACGTAGCCATGCTCTATGCATGCATGCAACCTCTCGAATCATACAGCAACAACGAGGGAAGATGTCAATGTACGCCATCATCCGTTTGCATCGTCAAAACACCAAACCGTCATCCGCCTATTTACGAGCGAAGCGCCAAGAAGAAAATTTCGCGAGTATTGCCGTTTGAGCTCAATACCCGTATTGCCGTTTGAGCTCAATACCCGTCAGTACTACTATATGTATGTACACGGAGGAGCTATTGAAGAGGGCAGCGAGCAGTGACGGACTAAAACTGTCAGGCAAACGTCCTATAAGTGTAGATCCTAGATGAGATATCACCTTCACAAGGATACAGATTACACTTTGGGGGTACGCGAAAATGTTTTTGAAACCAATGGGGGGGGTGCTCGTAGCGTGTACAAAAATACGGTCCTCCCGCGGAACGCTCTTGACAGTCCCCGGCTCTCTGAGCTGCCAGGCAGGTCCAAACCTGCTACATACCTGCTACCACTGCTGTCGTCCACTCTTGCTCTTTCTCTCTGCATCTGTACTCTTGCGGCAGTGGTTTACACAAGGCGAGCAATTTCGAAAGCACAAAATGGCGGGGAGGGTGCCGCTGGCAAGCAGAGATCATGCGCTCAACGTTTATCGGCAGCTGCTTTCGCTGTCGAAACGCTTGCCCTCGGGACAGCAGCGTGATGACGCCGTGCAGAGCGTCAGAGAGAGCTTCCGAGCCAATGCTGGGGTCAAAGATCCTTCCAAGGCGAGTCGAGAACGTGTTGTTGGTGTGGATGACCTTTCAACGCTTTGCACGGTGCAGCCGCAGTAGTGGTTGGTCCCTGCGTATCCCTCCGCTTCAGTCAATAAGAGTAGCGGCCGTTCACCAACTCACACCTCGTTCACCTCCGAGCAGCAGCACAAAAGTGCACAGCAGCAAGCCAGTTGCATGTACAACATTCTTGGTGCCATTGAGTATGTATAAGGTACAACATTTACCGTAGGTGAGTGTCCAAGCTCAAATTTTGCCTGCGGCTCCACTCTCTGGTCAACACCCTCTCTCCCCGTCAACCTGTAGCATGAAAGAGACCTCTCTTTGGTTGTCTGACCGCCGGGGTACTTGTTCCACAGTAGTCAGTGCATACCGGACATGGGAACAACAGCAGTGCACAATCATACAGATGGTGTTGAAGTAATTTTCCGTCACAAGGGCTACATGCTCGAAACTGGTGTCCAGGGTCGGTTCGATTCGATGGCGGCGGAGTGAATCGCCCGGCAACACGTCAGCAGGAGATGGGCGGGAACAGCAGTACAGAAAGCGCCCGCACTTAAGAACTTGGCAGTCAAGATATTGAGCCAGCCTAAAAAAGCTCAAAATCGAAGCAAACTTGAGCACCACTCTTACGAGCTCGGTTAAGAACCCCCACCCTAAAACCGATAAAGCGACCATTCGTAGCATGACCCTATTAGGACCGAAGAACCCCAGCGTTGGCCAAAACTATAGACCAATAGAGGTTCTTCAGTGCGGGCGCTTTCTCGAGAACGGGACTGGACTCTGCGATTCGTGCCGTAGTGGGCCCCGACGTAGCGCTGGGCAGCGGGAAAGCGAGGGGGTTTTACCCCCCAAGCTGAGAGCAGCAGTACTCGCAGTCTGTAGGGATGGTGATGGCCTCTCTTCGCACCAGCAGAAGCGGGTTGTGTTCGTAAATGCTGCACGTCTATCTAGAGGAGAGTGCCCAAGTCACGGCTACGAATAGTCACGGCCGTGACTCAGACTCGCTTCTTCTAGCCTACTGTTCTAGTCTCGCTCTACATCCTCCCTTGATCACCTGCGTGCCCGTGCTTGGGGTGGTGTTCGCACCCTCTTGGCGCTCACCACCCCTCTTACAACTCTCATCCATTGTACGGATGCCTCGAGGGAGATCTCTAATGCATTCACCCGGTGAGACCTGGCTTATGTGGTTTAGTATTGTCGCGAGGGAGATACCAAAGCAGGACGAAAGAGGAGAGAGTGCTGCATCATTCAAGCACCTTTGCAATCCGGCGCCGTGTCACCGTGTATCAGTCACGGCGGTGCCTCCAGCGGTCCCCTTCCGGCGCGACACGAACCAACCGCGAAGCCGATGTGCCCAAACCTATCCGTGTACCCACGAACGTTCTTCTCGCACGTGCATGTCAGCGAATGTAGCCTCCGTACACAGTCCATTGGGCTTGATGAACAGGAGCTTCTGCAGCATCTACACACCGCGTGCCGGCTCGCTTGGTTACCGTTCTGTCGCTTTGAAGCTGTATATTTTGGACGTTCTCTTGGTTCATCCGGCACAAGTTCCTGGCACGTTGTGCTCAAAAATCCAGCCGCGACGGCCCTCCCGCGTACATGGATTTTGATTAATGATAACACCCCATTCCCGACCCTTGCCGGAAATGTACGCCCGCGCAATACCGGTATGATAAAAACCATTTACCCATTTTCGGCTTTGGATAAGCATGTAGCACCCACACAATCCACCGCCCCATGACACTCGCTAGCTTAACCCGTGCCTTCGACGTTTCCATGCCCGCGCTGCTACTCCGCGGGATTCGTTCATGCCCAGGCGCATGAGCTCTTGCGTCAGGCCGAGTCAAGACTGGGATTCCTTAGGATGGCAACGCCCAGAAGCAAGGTCGGCAGCAAGGGGTCCACGCGTGCCGTGTACCGGGACGGAAAGGTCATGGAGGGGGAGGAGGCTAGAAAGCACGACAGGGCGAAGCACAGCAACTGGGACGGGCGGAACATGGACCCCGACAGCGTGCGGTATCACAAGCAAAACCTGGCCAGGGCGGGCTTCGCGAATCATCGACAAGTGATCGGGCCACACGGTTTCTGAGAAGAAAAAGAAAAAGAGAGAAAAAAGTGGTTCTTGGTCCATCTGCGCCGGTGTGTTCGCAGAGGCGTACTTCTCCTGCATTCCGGTTCTTGTGCCTCTACGCTTCTACTGCAGCTTGTGTACTTGTTTGCTTTGTCTACTTTGTTTGCGAGATCCTCTGTAGACATCGGCGGAAACGGCTCGTTGGTTACACGCCGAGGTATGCTACCAACATCGTCGTAGCTGCACAACGTATCGCGCGTTCGGCGTCGGATGCTATGCAGAGGCTCACTCACTGGCGGTCGCGGCCTGCATGCAAGGATAAATCCCTCCAAAGCTCAACATGTGTTGGCCGCCTAGTTGGTGATCACAACCACGCGCAGTTCCGGCGTATCAAGCTGTCGACAGGGCTCAGCAGGAGTAGTGCCGTGTCCGAAAGAGGGCCGCCAATACTCACCCGATATCGTCCCCATGAGGAAGTGGTCAAACGCTCTCCTCTCAAGTACGGCGTTCTTGAGCAGCCGCCAGGTTGACCAAGCTCGGAAGTATGTTAATGCGTTTGACTGCTGCCATCGCACAAAGCCCAATCACATGTGCGTCATTTACACTTGTTAATTGTCCTGATTCACAAACAAGGCAGCCTTTCTGTCCCCGTCTCCGTCTCCAGGCCGTTGTGGAAGCCATCGTTCCCAAAAAACAAAACTGCTGTATTCACCTCCATGCCCCCCCTTTCCCTTGAAGGTTCGAACGTGTGCCGAAACATGTACCACTTCCTAAAAATCACATGAACAAGCGCAGAGCTTGACTTGCCGCATTCCCAAGCACTATTTTGAACATTCGAAGCTTGCGCCTGATCCAAAGCAATGTGCGGGCGTCCAACAAGCGCATGGCAGCAGATTTGCTGTGGGGCCAGGAGGAGGAGCCAACTCCCAAAACTCAGATTCACATGTCCAGCACCGCGTGCTAAGGAGAAAAGTCGTATAGCGCAACCACACTAGCAGTGGCACCAGGCCTTAAGCTCACGCCATAGCATCCGGGGCCCTCCAATGCATTACTTACCCAATCCAGCTATCAACGCCCGTCGCGCGTATGCTCTAAACACGGTATACAACCCTCGTACTAATATTCTGCCATTCCTCTACGTGCCTGCAAATGAGCACCCATTACGACGACCAATCACCGCGAAGATTTTAAGCCTTGGGACAGCATCGCTGTGGCGCTTACTGGCCCCCCGCCACGACCACGGCCATTACCACCACCATCACCACTCTGCCTCCTGTTCCTTCCCCCCCTCTCTCGCCCTCCGCCCCTCCCGCCCCCGCTCCCCCTGCCGCTCCTCCCACCGCCTCCGCCGCCGCCCTTCTTGCCCGAAGACTGCTGAGGGGTGGTGGACTTAGGCGCTGCCGCTACGGCAGTGGTGTCCTCTCCGAAGCGCGCGATACGCTTCGCCTTTTTTTCGGCCTGCTCGGAAGCCAGCCAGGCCGCCTTCGACGCCACCTTCGCCTTCTTTTCGGCGTCGGGGTTCACGTAGCCGAACTTTTCCTGCCGTGCGGCCCGCTTGGCGGCCTTCAGGGGGGGGGGGGGGCGAGAGATCGCGGGAATGAGTGAGAAGTGGGCCCCACGCTAACATACTAGGAGCTGGGTCCGGTCAGACGAAAGAGTGACACACAGGGTGAGGAAACGACATAGACTTGTGTCACAGAGCGGACGACGATGGAGTGTGGTCGTATCGTACACCAACTATCTTCAACATAGGCAGGCATTGCGCGCCTTCAGGGGAAGTGATGACCGCGAGATCATCGAGCGGGCCCGGTGGAGGGGTGGCGTGCACTTATGAACACTGGGCAACTGGCATCAAACGGCAAAACATTCTGGCAAGACCGTGCGAGCGGAGGCAGGGGAAAAATCATGCGCCAGCTTCAAACACGACAGCAATACACTACCACCAAGAACAGCAAACATCAACCAACGGGGAAAAAAAACTCACCTCGGCTTCCGTTCTCTTGGCAGCCTCCTCCTTATCATCGACGATGCCGAACCGTTCCATGCGTTTTTTCCTCTTGGCCTCCTCCTCGGGGTTGAGCGACCTTTTTGTGCCCTGCTTACCGCCCGCCGCCTGCACGCAAAAAAAACATGCCGGTGTTGCGGGTCGGTTGGATACCGAAGTGGGCGGTAAAGGGAATCGACACAAGAACAAAAATTCGAGAACCGTTGCGAAAGTCGTCTGGTTCTTCCGCCCCCAAGAGATGGCCGCCACAACAAGAACCTTTGAACCGTTTTTTCTGCTAGACAACCTCCCCTTGTACTCCCCCCCTCCCCTGCTGGTATTCTTCGCTCCATCACATCGCCCCACTGCTGTGAGCGCTCCATCCCTCAAGATCTTCAACCGCACCCAAACGACACGTATTTCGACGCACCGCGGCACTCACCGGCTCCGGCAGGCCGAACTTCTCCCGGCGCATGGCCATCTTCTCCGCCACCTCGCTCTCGGTCACCGGAGCGATGCGGCCAAACCGCTCCACGCGCTTCGCCAGCCGCATGGCTTCCGCAGCGGCGGCAGCATCCGTGGCGGTGACGACAGCAGGAGCGGCGGTAGCCGTGTCAGCAGCAACCTCACCGTCGGCCGTGGTAGAAGCGGGTTCTGCCGGGACGGCGGGTGTCGCCTCCTCCTGCTCGTTCGTGGCACAGGCAATTGAAAAATTGGAGTCGGATATCTCGCGCTATAAGAGTAGTGCTGTAGATGAGACGCGCTGTTTTTTAACTCTGGGCAGAGGTATCCGCTCTCTCGCCCGTGCCGAGGGAGCGTTGGAATATTCACGACTTTTGCAACTGCACACCCCACACCTCAAAGCGTTCACCGAGACCTGTTCATGTTAGGTCGCGTTGCCTGCGACGCAAAGAAGGAGTACACGGGTGGCGTGGGTTTCTGATGCGACATCATGCTGGAAGGTCGAGGTCATGGAGGTTAGGTTTCTGCCTTCAAGGGGACGGGAACACCAGTCACAGGTGGGTAGCAGCAGTCCCTGTGGGCATTAAATGTAAGGAAGGGTGAAAAGATAGGAAACACTCACGGCGGTTGTCGCAGGCGTGGCTTCCACCGCGGGTTCCGCCGGTGGCTCTGCCGCGGTTCCATTTCCCGCCTGCATTCGTACACAGGTGTGCGGAAGACAGCAAGTTGAGAGGAAGGGCGAGTCGTCTGCAGGTGTGCGGAAGACAGCAAGTTGAGAGGACGGGCGAGTCGTCTGCCTAGGTTACACGTCGCAAGGCTGGAGACTTACGCGAGGCTTACCACTTACCACCGTTGTTCGCCTACAACACTTGCGCAAAAAACACCGCAACCTGGTTACGTACAAGCGCAGACGTACAAGCGCAGACTGGCGACGTTTGTGCAGCAGGAGAGACGGTTGGCATCGAAACAACGCCACAAACCTCGGTTGCAGCATCGCCGACGGTCGGTGTAGGCATGCTGATAGCGCCAAACTCTTCCTCGTCGAGGGCCGCCTGCAGCCGCTGGGCCAAGTCTGCTTTGTTGCCCTTGACATCCAGACTCCTGCTTGCCAGCTCGGTTTTCAGCTCGGAAACCTTACAACATGGACAAATTGCAGTAACACAGCAGAGTCGGGTGGACGCGGTGTTGGCACTGGCGCTACCAAGTCTCGGCTTGCACCGACGGCAACCCCTGAGGAGTTTCGAGCCCGCACTTTGGATCCTCTGTACAATAAACAAATCGTAGGGAAGTTCTGCCCACGCGTGCGGAGTGCGGAAACACCTTTTCGTATCGTAGGCGACACACCTTCTTTTTACACAAAAATGCTGGCATTTCTAAACCCAAACCTAACACCTGACCACGACACGACTTCGCGCCAAGGTCAACCAGTGAAGCATCTACTGGTCACGCGTAGATGACGCTTTCGGCGATAACATGGCTCCGACGAACACTTCGTGGGCGTCCCCAACGCCAACCGCCAACCGCCCTATCCTGACCCAAAATCACGAGCAGCAGCAGGCGTTTATCCATTAATGTACACCCACCTTAAGCTTCGACACATTGATTTCGCTCATGGTGGTCAACGTTCTAGCGGAGGAGGAGATCAACGTCGGGTAGACGCCGGGAGGGATCGGGGCTTGCGTGGTTCCGTCGGCCTACTGCTATAGTGCGGCGCGAGCTTGCGTGCGACAAGAACGGGGGGGTGCGCAAGTGGTACCAATAGCAGGGGGCACCATTTTTTCTTCTGGAAACCTTGTTCTCCGTAGATCTGACAACCTCCGTAAGGACCGCTCCATCTACCCGTCCGGTGTCTGGATACAGCGAAGGGACCGAGGGGGTGTACGCGTGATCGCACCTCGCGAAACCTAAATACATACCTTGGGAGGATACCTCTCTTTAGATCACCTCTACTTGCTCGCTGCTGCACCGAACAAGGAGCGAGGACTACTGCTGCCCATTATCGGCATGGTGGACATCAGGCCTGCAAATCTATCCGCAGCTCGATGTCAGCACGACGAGGTGAAAGGACGCGTCCGAGATTCACCCCATGGCTTCTTCCTTCAGCTGACTCTGTATCGTTGTTGCTGTTAGGGTATTGGGGCAACATGAGTCCGGTTGGTTTCGATGTGTACGTCGAGCTTCGTACAAACTTCATCACCAAAACACTCATATATATATACCACGCTTGCTTGTCATTCACGGAAACGCGGGATACCCTCTCTCTCGTGACTGTTGCGTCCTGATCGAAATGCTCATAGATGGATGAAGACCATTCTACTGTGACGGCAACCCCGTCCACATCATCATACCAGAGCGGGGGGAGTTACAGCAGTGTTGCGGATACCCACCACTATCGACAAGGTGTGGTATATAAATCCGTGTGGGTTACAGTACTACTGGACTGACTGCTGTGGTCTGTACAAAAGTGGAAATGGGGTTGCATGCGGTGTTGACGGCCACGCTTTCACACTGATATCCACGGAGTAACGGAACGTGAGTTCTGCAGTATGATCCTCACCACACGCCAGCAGCGTTACCACCGTTTCTTACAACATGGTTTTGACAAACGCCTTCATATCATCACGCAAGCTACAGCAGGAATTGTGTGTTGTCCCCAGCAGTGTAAGTTCAATAGCACGGGCAATTTTTCCGACAGGTCGTGGTGTGTGGAGAAAGGGAAGCCCCGCTCAAGAGGGCCGAGAGAGCAAACTCTTGAATACTATCGCTGCCAGAGGGGTGCATCACCACATTCATCCCGTCAGCAATTCAACCCCCTCCCAGATGACTATCTAGACTACAGCCCACAAGCGCCGAGAAAACCAATGAGCAGAAACAAGTGTTCTCCCGCAATCTACCGCGACTGCAATCCCCGTAGAAAAGTACCCAATTTCCGTCCATCGTACTTGCTCCGAGCGTATCTCACATTGTCACCGTTGCGCAAGGCCACCTTAACAAGCAAGTGCGTTTGCGGGCCGGTGATTCGCACGCCCTCTGCACTGGAGAGAACATTTGACCCACTCTTCTTTCGACTTACTATTCATATTGTTTTTCAGCGGGAATGGGCCCTGCTCGTACGGAACGATTAGCACCTAGTCAAGACCACACCGGCGTTCAATTTTCGCCGCCCGCTCCGAGCTTCCCCGGTGAGTGTGGCACTGGTATGTGGTAGGTGACTGTTTGTATGCATAGCATGCACCTCCTGGACATTGTGCACTTGCTTGTCATCTCGTGGTGAATGCTGTTAATTTTAATGTGGAGATCCCCTTCACAAACGGTACAAATCTCCCAGGGTCTGTCGAGGATGATTGATTCCCTATTTTTACGTTGGCATCGTTAATCATAACAAAGGTCGGCAGGGCAACGGGAAGGGAAGGCAACCCGCAAAAAAAAAGTCGATACATTCCGCGCGTTTGGTTAGCCGTCCGCGGTGGTGACCTGATCGTTGACATGTTGTTCTGTTTTCTACGCCCTTCGTGGCATCAGGAACGCCGAGACCGAGCGAGTCCTTGATGGCCTGCCACCGATACTCGCGAGTGGTGCGGGTGCTGGCCATCCTCGATGCGATCATTGTTTTGTGCGGCGCTTCCGCCTTCACGTGAGAAACTGCGATGCTCTTCGTCACAACAGAGAAAGGGTTACGAGTGACTTCGTTTGCCGCCCAGGCCGGCTGTAGATCACCGATCGCGCCTCACGTGTGGGAAGTAACTACATCGTTTCTTCTTCCGTTCGGGTCGCTTTTCGCTGTGTATGAAGGGCTACCCGGGTTCACAGGGTATCCGTCTGCAGGACCGAAGTACGAAGGGTCGACGAGGGAGAATCACGCCCTGTTTTGAAGGCGGATAACGTCGCGGGCGTAGATTGTGCCATCTCGCGAGCTTGATTTGGTGTAGTGAACGTCGATCTTCCGCCAAAGAAGGGGTTTGCAGGCTTCATAGAGAAGGGGGCCCAAGGAGAATGTTTAGGGCGGCCCATGTACCTCTACCCACCCTGGTGCAACGACTATAATGTGCCGACCGTTGCCCTCAAACTCAATGTCATTGGATGCCATGGGTCTATGGAGTGTGACGGGAAGTTTTGGCACCTGCATCTTTGTGGAGGGAACTAAGTTCGGCTGCACCATCCTCTCCAAATGCTGAACGCTCGGCACCATTCTCGCTCAGGCCTTTAATTCTCATGATATGGGGTCCGATCGCGGGTTACCTTGCGTCCAACTTCCGATTAAGAGCAGCCTTCACCTTCCTCTTCTACTACGGCCTGAGGATTTCTTGGGACATTGGATGGATACTTAGCGGCGGGATAAAGTGGTGAGAGGCTACCCAATCAAGATCATGTAGGTAGACCACGCGTGTCTACTACGCATGAACCCGATCACTGGTGGCCTACAGCACCAACGATTGGCAGGCTGCAACATGTGTACGCACGCGCGCACACAAATTGTTGTTTCATAACGTACACTGCCTATAGAGGCGTGTAACCCTTGGTGGCGACTGCGGCTGTAGCGTTCGGTGCTTGACATTCTAGCGAATCTGTTTTCCAGCAGCAGCAGCAGCAGCAGCAGCAGCAGCAGCAGCAGCAGCAGAAGTCGTTCTGACATCATCCCGCTGGGGCCTTCAAGTACAGCCCCCCGTTCTATCTATTCGGAAAATCCATTCAGTCGGCTGCCCGCGCTCCTTTTCTCACGTACACGACGGTGAAATTCTCGTCACAAGTCTTTGCTCTTTCTTTTGTCGTGCCCTGTTTTTCGATCGACGTCTCACGCGTGTGAACCTCACGGCACCAACGGCGGCGACACCCTCCGGCAGGGTTGTTGTCTGGGTGTTTCTGTTCACCGATGTAGCCGCATCGGGGCTGGTGTACTTCTTCGTGGTGCTTCTATGTCGTTGTTCCACCGCTGAGGTGGAGCATCTGCGAGATCCGAACACCGCGTGGGCGTCGGCGTTCTTCCCGCTCTCCGTCGGTGCTACGCCATTCGAGGGATCTCCGGACAACTAGATGGATAGTGCTTCGCGGGCACGCTGTGGTTTGGTCCTTTGATCCATGCTATTTGTTGTTGCTGTTGTTGTTGCTGTTGTTGTTTGTTGGGGTTTGTGGTGTCATCTTTTTTGTCTTCTTCACAAGAAAACAGTTCGGCTCGCTATCTCGTACGCCGTTTTCCGCACGAAAACTCGGAAGCGATAGAAGTATCATAATGATCTGGCTTTCGACGTGAGATCCGCGTGTGAAGTGAACTGAAATCTCTAAGTTTCATCAAGACCAGTCTCGAAGCACTCGAGCTGTCAGGAAGACGCTTGTGCATGCGTAGCTGGTGTGTCGCGTGTGTGTGGCGCGCGCTTTGCAGGTGTACATATTGGCCGTGTGGTAGGCTACAGATTTTGAGACGTCCAACGATTTATTCTCTCGATGTCTGCGTTCTTGCAGTCTTCAACGCATGGTGGCGCACCTTGTACATTTTCATCATCATGATTATTATCGGTTTTCTTTGCCCAGTATTTCAAACTTCAATGTAGTTGCTCTTGTCTTGGTGATATTACTCCCAGCTTGTTCATAGTTCATGTGTGGCTACCGTAGAACAACCACATCCCATCAGGATGAAGTTAGCCTCAGGAAACACGGGTGCGGTCGACGTCTGAAGTGCGCTAAGTACTTTCTCCCTACTGTATTAGGCTTTCTTTTTATGTGTGGTTTTGAGGTTTATGCCGCACGTTATCATGAGTCGGTCGCCATGTTCTGTGTTTATATTTTCTGGTACTTGGGGGTGCAGGCTAACAACATACAGTAGGCCCAACATTGTGTGTGTGGTGAGATTGAATGTGATAGATCATTCGTGACAACAATGTGACAAGAATGAGTGCGGTCTAGTGGCCAAGGACGGTTTAGTGTATCGTGTTGTTGTGCCGAACGCGCCAACAATGCCGTAGTCGACTCAATCAAGCACAACCCACGAGCCTGCCACCGCAACTGGGTCCCCACTCAAACGGTAGCTAGCTTCGTTTTCACGCGTCTGGTCTCGCTCGAGCTGGGCACGATAACGGGTAGCCGCCACGATGACTGCCGAGCGACTAACCCCCTAGGTCAACCCACGCCTAGCCTCGAGTGCTCAACGGGCGCTGTACTAGCGGCAGTTCGGGCGTAGACGCTTGACCGTATGGGATGTCCATGCTCTCGTCTTTGTCCACAAGGACCAGCTCATCGTTCTGGCAGTCGGGCATGTCTGCGATAGACATCGTAAATCATGCCAAGAAGTGCCCGCCCCCAACGTCCTTGTCATCGCCCCCCGATCGCACCTATCGCGGTGGGACCAATCTCCAAAACTCCCTGGTTGTCGCTGAAGTTATTAAAGCGTCAAAGAGGACGGCCTATGATTTGTCCGGACCCTCTAAATACGTGATGCAAGCATCGTCTGAACGACCCCACGGTCATCGCCATGTGCCCCGGTGGTATGTCGTCGACGACTTCCAAGCTAGTCTACCCCATTGTTTTCGTGATCAGCACACGCCGGCCAGACACTTCGATAGTTTGTTGCGTTCTTCCCACTTGTCGAGATTGTCCGACTTCCCCAGCATAATGTCTACAGTTGCCGCCCTTCGTCAAACGATTTCGTCCATAGCCTCTTGGCCTTGGGAATAGGGTTAGGGGTAGGATAGTGCCCCCACCCCCCCGAATCCAGTAATTGGCAGGAACCACCCCTCCCCGACAAGAACGAGACGTTCTGATATTAATAATAGTAGGCGCAAAATGCAACATACGCCTACTATCTATGTACTCGTTCGTTCGTTAGAGGGGTCTAATGCGACACCTTATTATTCTGTTTCAGTATAGGCTCTAGATGGCACAACCGATAATTTGAAAGGAGGACGCCACGACGCGAAGCCCGCTACACATGTTCAACAACGACGAGACACACTACAAGTACACGCGAAAATCTTCATCGGGACGTTGAAAGTACAATATAACAATAATAGTAGCGCAGAACGGCGACAGCAAGTTGTAGCATGCGCCACACAACAATCTCTACGCCTCTTAAAGAACACTTTTTTTACCGATGTATGCCCTACACCAAGACGACACACTGACATGCATGTGTATCATCCACACGCAATAAAAACGTCGAGTTGGTTTGCTACACAAATCGCGGGGCCCTAGAAGTACATACCCCAACTGTTGATTTCCATCTTTGTGCCCCCCTCAACAGTCAAAATTGATCGCGCGCTCGCTCTTCGTCGCTTGTGCTCTCGCGGTTTCACCACAGCCAGGACAGTGGGGCGCACAGATAGGCGCGCGGACGGAAGCTGAGGGCGCTTTTGTCGCCGTTGTCAAGGTTTTTTGCCAAGAGCTCAACGGAATCGCGAGCGCTGGTACAGACAGGTGGATCGCAGCACTGGCACGTTCCTTTCACATCGGAGAGAGAGAGAGGCACACGTACTCGAAGTTCGTTCGTTCCCTTCCGCTTGGTGAGGACTCTTTGCGTACGTAGATATCACTACTGTAGCAGCACAACGATTTGATCCATTGGTCGCCTTTGGTTTTGATCTGCTGGTGGTGGTGGTGTGGGTTTTGCCTCGTGGCGTGCCTCATTGTACATGTTTCGGTTCAGTCGCGCGCTCTCTCTCTCTGTGTTTTGTTACACTCAGCTCACAGAGCGAGGAAGAGAACAGGCTCGGTATTCGGTATCATGCGAAGGTCCCGTTCAATTGCAGCAGCAGCAGCAGCAGCAGCAGCAGCTACACCTCTGAACGGGTCATTCTTCTGACAGTTGACATCCTCTTGCTTTACATACAACACGCTTTCAACGCTTGCCTTCCCCACCCCCGCTTCCCACGTTGTTTTTATCCTCCGCAAAGTAAGTCAACGCACTTTCCGCAGACCAAACCTGAAGTACAACAACACACAGCCGCGGCGGCGGCGGCGAGAGTTTGAGACCCTCCGACAGCACGCACACCAGTCTCACACAACGCTACCAGTCAAGAACAAAGCCAGCAACCGCGCAAGGATGAGGGCCGCGGCGCGGGTTGGGGGGTCCCCCAAGACCGTGGACCGAGTGCTGGGCGTCTTGGTGGCGGCGTGCGCGTCTGCGCTGCTGGTCGCTCTCGGGGCGAGGGCCGGAGCACGGGCCGGAGCCTCCTTCACGACGTTGCTGCGCCTGGCGTACCAAGGCAGCAGCAGCAGCAGCAGCAGCAAGCGACGGTCTTCCCGAAGGGAGGAGGAGGAGGAAGGGGACGCGTACTTTGAGTACGCTCACGGGTCGCGGTCTACCGCAGCGGCGGGGGCGAGAGGGGCGGGAGGGGGGGAGTTGGTGCTGCACGCGGGGAGTTGCCACTGCGGAGGGCTCGCTTTCGAGGTGGAGGCGCCGGAACACCTAGCGGCGGTAGAGGGGCCGAGCAAGGTGGGGTGTTGTTCTTGTGGTTGCGTACAGGGCCTTTGCGATGCGCCTGTTGTGTGTGTGTGTTTTTTTATACAGGGTGGGTGGAAGCTTCGGGGTGTTTGTCGTTGTCGTGGTTGACTTTGGTTGACTTTGGCACAGCGCGTTCGACAAGGTGTTGTTACTGTTTACCGCTGACCTCATCGCTCGCACCGCACAACAGCAGTGTGCCCACAGACTGCTACTACAGCAGTACATTTGCACTTGTATTCCAATCACGGGTGCCCAATGGAAACGACCAGTGCCAGTGTCATCACACGTACGCTACTGTACATATCTGTCGATGTATCCTGTCGACCAGCTACGCTATTGGTCACCTCCGGCGTATTGTCCCGCTGCTCGAAGAAACAGTTTTTTCCAACGCCCCCATCAGAATTTGGCTCGAAACAAAACTTTCGCCTTCAAGCAGGCCTTCGTAAAAAATGCTTACGTACAGGCTTCCCTCCTCGGGGGTGCTAAGCTCGCATGCACGGCGGTTGCTGCTGCTTGTTGTGGATTTCACAGCAGTCCATGCGATCAGTTTTCATGTTTTTTCAACAGCCGGCACTCACCACGACCTTCATGTTTTGATTCGTTTTTCGCATAGCGGTGCAATAACAACCTATACAGATGTTCTTGTACTTAGCACCAGCTGGCATCACTGGTATAAATCATCAGTGTATAGACTTAAAAAGACTCGAAATAAGTCCAGTACCCAGCCGGTTTCCCTCCACTCACTGAAAAGACTCCACCACATCCCGTTCGACTGTGGGTATATCTCGAATGGGTAGTCTTTCTGTGTGTGTTTTTATTATTCCTTAATAGTACCTCGCTCATGGGTTCAGTCAATCGGAACGGGAAGCCGTGTATCTGCTCGTGTAGTTGCGTGTACGGAGCGGTGTGTAGAGAAGTAAACGCTTGTGGTACCCAGGTTTCACAGGATTGAGTGTCTATCTATTGCCAATTCGAACGAATGGCTAGTCCGCCGAAAAAACTCTCAAGACTCTTTTTCTTCGATAGAGATGGATTCGTTAGGTCATACCGCCAAAAACAAAAAAAACGAAGACGGTATTGAAACGGAGGTTTAGGCGCATTCATCTTGTGACATACGAAGTACGTTGCTCACGAGAAGGCTGCAGGCTGAACAGACGATCGGGTCGGAAGTTCGACGTGAAACGTGAAAAACCTGTGCACAGCAGTTGCGCCGCCTTGTCATGCAATTTCTAGAATACATACTGAAGCATACCTCAGTACCTCATCGTCACCTGGTATGAGACTACTTCCCCTCCTGCCGCCACCTTACTCTAAACCTATCGATGTAATGACAGCGCGTCATCAAAAGTCTATTTCCCCGCTTTTTGGTGATGTAGCTTGGTTGGCAGCTTTCGACGTGGCAGAATACTCTCCCCGGATTGGTGCGCCGCAGGTTCGAATCAGCAGCCTTCGCCGGGTTTTTGGATAAAAGTATGAAATCGGGGAAGTTGGGTTAGGGGTAGGGTTAGGGTCAGGGATAGAGTCTGCGTGCCCCCTCCCTATTCTATTTCCTCATGCACTTTATGTTCTCGCGAAAGCGGGTCCGTTCGGTTTGGCGGTGCTGCTCGTGCTGCCCGCGGTTGCGGCCGCTTGCTTGCCTCAGACAACTCGTCCTAGCTTCGGAAAGCAGGAATCATTAGAGATTGCCGCAGGAAAAAGAGACCGTTCGGTATCGTTTGGGAGCCCTTGCGTCGCAGGATAACACCCCCCTCTCCCCCCCCCCCCCTCGGCCTTGTTTGCCATCGGGGTTTGGGTTTTCGTCGCTTGGCAACGACGTTGTAAACAAGCCAGTTCACTTCGTGAACTCGGCAACCAGGGTACCGTTTTTTTTTTTCTACCTCGATTTTTTTTTTTTGGCGGTAACCGTAATGGTG